ACCCAGCAAGAATCACAGCCCAATTCAAATGGGAATGATCTTTCCTGGGAAACGATGGCTTCTGGGAACAAAATTCAATGCAAGGCCACTGAATCAATTCCAGAAACAAACTCTGGCGGAGAGCTCAATGTCACCACCTGGTTGCCTCAAATAACCCACAAGTTTCAAGTGTAATTATCAGTTAACTCAGGACCTAATTTTGAGAATGAAGTTGAATGAGTATGAATGGATGAAAATAGTTACGCTTTTGCTATATTTGAAAATAGAAATATCATTCAATCACTAAATCTATCATTAAATCTCAGAATGATGTGCTAGAAATAGACATCATTTATCTCACAAACTTTTACTGAGTATCTGCCAGCTCCAGGAAGTAGGCTAAGTAGAGAGAACACAAAGATAATGTGAGACATGGGCCGGGGCTTCAAGGAACTTAAAGTCTATCAAAAGAAACAAATAAACAAATGTCTAAAATGTGTGATGCACACAAAAGCACAAGTGCATTGTTCCTGTAGTCACTCACTTTGGTATCATCTCCTTGCACATTGCAGTTGGCTGGGGATACACTTGGGAATGAGTGAAAAGTGAGTGAATGAACAAATGAACAGTGAAAATGCATTCAAAAGGAAAGGGGGACGGTAAACGGAGGACAAATAGCAGGAGAATTATACACACAACTGATGTGAACCAATGCTACCAGTAAGACTGAAGGGAATTCACACCGAAGGGGCCTGAGAGGTGGAGGGCAAGATGGAGGAGGATAAAAATCCTCCCCAAATTTATGTTAGGCCATCAATATTCCTTTTAAATATTTAAAACAACAAAAAAAACACAGGCCAAAGCACCAGTCTTCAAACCTTCTGAAAGGAGATTAAGCATCTTATGATTCTTTTTAGAGGAAACAGCGTCCTGGAATGCTTCCAAATCTGGTTTAGGGGGAAACTGAGGATGAAATCTTTATCAACCACCTGCTATATCCAACCTCGAGGGAGAAAATATTTGCCCTGTATGTGAAAATATTTCCCTTTTCTCTCTTCCCAGGAACAGTATCCTCTATTCCGCCCCCCAGGGGAACAGAGTCAGAGTCAGGGGTATCTGTCTGCAGCATCTAAGGGCCAGTCTGCGACCAAACTTCCAAACACGACCCTCTGCCAGCTGGAATTCTTAGAGATTCCTGAGCTAACGCTGAGCACACATCACCTTGACCTGGCACCTTCTTAAAGTGAGTTGTTATGACACCACCGTTGTATTGCGTGTTCATCAGAGAGTCAGAAATGTACTGCAAAAAGAGAGGGTGCCAACTACACTCTGGATGAAGTGAGAAACAGAACCACTGCGGAACACCTGGCAGTGAGGAAGGTTAACTTCTATGTCAGAGAGCGCTTGACAGGTAACTTCTAAAAAGCTTCATGAATTTACCTGAATGAAAAAGACAAGCTACTTTTTCTATTTTCCACTATGTAATTTTAAGTGGTATGACATGCTTGAGAAGAACTGATTCAGATATTTTAGCAATTTTTCAGTTATCTGATATGTTAATACATTCAGCAACTTTATGCAAACACCTAAAAATTAGCATGATATTCTCCTCTTGGCTCCTGTCTCACTTTTAACTTTGTTTTAAAGTAATTAAATTGGTTCTAAGTTTCAAAACACAACAACTGAAGAAACTGTTCTTTCCTGCATAAAACCTTCCAAATATTCCTGTTGGTTTTTGGGCTTTTGTGCAGCACAGAGAAAGAACACAGAGGAGAATTTTGGTGCTGGTCAGGAAAAGATAAGTCTACTGAGAAAATGGCTGGGGCTAAAAATGAACTCCAAGCACATAAAAAGAAAACCAGGTGGCATTCCAGCCTACGGGCAGCTTCCCTGAACGTCTGTGCTCTGACTTACACAGGCACGTGTGTGTATCCTACTACGCACTCCCAGCTGGGCTCCGACTCGCTCCTTGGTTCCAGATCACTAGAGGTGCACACATTTAAGAAGCAGCAAATCAGGGTAAACATACTATACTAGTTTCTCCACTACTGTGATAACCTTTCTTTTCTTTCTTTCTATTTATTTGTATATTTTTTGAGACAGGGTGTTGCTCTCTTGCCTGGGCTGGAGTACAGTGGCACAATCACAGCTCACAGCAACCTCAAATTTCTGGGCTTGAGCAATCCTCCTGCCTCAGCCTCCTAAGTAGCTGGGACTACGGGTGTGGGCTACCCTGCCTGGCTAAATTTTCTATTTTTTGTAGAGACAGGTTCTCACTATGTTGCTCAGGCTGGTCTCAAACTCCTGGCCTCAAGCGATCCTCTGCTTTAGCTTCCCAAAGCACTGGGATTATAGGCATGAGCCAGTGATAACCTTTCATATGAAAAGGAAAGGATGAATGCACTGAAAATTCCCCAATTGTAAAACTGAACCACTTAACCCTTAAAACCGATTTAAGGTCTCCTTCGTTTACAAACTCATACATAGCACAAGTTCCTATATATAGTGTAAGCCAATGAAAACAAAATGTATTTTCTTTTTTAAACAATTTGCAAGCCTATTGACAATACAAACTCCATGATCTGCTAAGTGGAATGCTTTTATTATGAGAAGTTTCCTTAAAAAATGCTGCTGATGTCACGAAAACCAACGAACCCAAACAGAGTCTCTGGAGAACAATGGCTTTTGCAAAATGCTTTCCTTCAGCGTCTGCTTTTTGAAAACCATCACATAGTAGTGGAAGAGGTGATCTAAATCATAAATACTACTTCATGGAAAGAGTTCTGTCCTAAAAGGAATTTAAATCCTGACCTTAGACTGCTAAGCTGCTAAAGAACATTGCTAGGCACTTGGCTCCAGAATGGGCTACAGGTGCGAGGCTGTCTGCCCTCCGCCCCTTTCCCTCCATTTGGTCTGAGGGCTGCTGCCCAGCTGCCGGTCACCCTCCCTTCCTTTCCCATGACACCTGTGGCATCCAGGGCAATGGCACTCTGTGGCCTGAGCGAGGAACCCACGGACTGGACGTCCCTGCCAGGCCCTGGCCCTCTGGCGGGTCCAGGCTGCTCTGTGCCCCTGGCCTGTTTTCTGTCTTGTCACTGCTTAATGAACTGAGGCACAATCTGCTCTTATACACCAATCACCTTTAACCTGCTCCCTCCCTCTCAGCAAGGGTGTACAAACACGAAAGATAAAGAGAAGCTAAACACAAACACAACAGTAAAGAGCAGCATACGGCCTAACACGGCATGGCAAGTGCTGTAACAGGTCGTGGCAGGAGAGCTCGAGAAGGTGCTGGGAAGAGCGGCTGACTGCCTGGGAAGGGAAGGGAGGCAGCACGTCCCAGTCTCAAAGGTGTCAGAGGGAACCTCAGGGATTCGGGGACACTACTGAGGGGCAGAGGCGCTGGGAGAGGAGGATACAGCACAAGATGGGGCTGGAAGGAAAAGTATGGTCCAGACTGGATGTGGCTGCTCCCCAGATACAAGAAATCACTGATGTTCAAAAGCAGGGGAACGATCTAGTAAAATTTGTATTTTAGAAAAAGCTCTGCCAGCAGCGCTGCAGGGAGGCCGGGGCAAGGAGATGGCAGGGGCAGGGAGCGCAGGAGTGATCACGGCTCAGCTCGGGATGCGTCAGGAGCTCACAGCCTAGTGCTACGTGCATCGATAACTAGAAACTGCCCTGGAACAATGTCCACTTAACATGTCTCCTTGGAAAAAATACCCTCTTTGTAAATATTTTCAAGTCCTTTTTTGGTTATGGCATTATGAAGAGCAGGCAAAGAAGAAGCTACTTGTGCCAGTTTTCTATTCTGACCATGTCAGGCCCACGAAGCAAGAGCCCCTCTGCAGGATGGAGCTCTGGCTGCCGGCCCAGGCAGGGCTGAGCACAAACTCTTGGGGCCCTAGCAGCCTGCTAAATACGCTCCCTACGCTCTCTTCACGGACCCACAGAGTTTCAGAGGGAAGGCGACTTGACTGAGGACTAAGCGCCCGAGATCCCAGAGCTGGAGGTGGAGTTCCTTTCCTTTAAGTGGATTCACTGGTCCCTGATCTCTGGTGCCTTTAAACAAGGCAATACAGCCTCACACTCTCCCATATTCTCCAGTCGTCCTACTCTTCCCAGATCCTTCTTCCCATCCTACTGCCATAGCTTCCACATGCATCAGCCTAGATCATTCAGAAGGGCCCTCATTTCCAATACACAAAGGGCTGTATCATAATATATTGAGATCCTTTATGAAGCAGGTAATTTTTTTTCATTAGACAGAAATAAGATGCAGTATGGTGACATCCTTACTCGAGACACCCTGAGAACTTTAATTTTTAGTATAATTCCTTTTTTTTCTTCAACAGCTATACAATAGTTTCCTCAATGTAACATATGATTTCTACCATGAAATATATATACACGAGATATAACTAATACCTATTTTTGACATACCAGATAACATGTTATCTCTTATCATGAGATAAATTTATTAACAAGAGCATACCTATGACATTAGCTTTAACGTTATTCACACCATGTTGGTTTTGGTAGATCTAAACTCAATATCATATTATGTAATACTCACTTTTATTAGTGTCTGAGAGTAGCCTCATGAAATCAGAAGATAATCTTGACTTTTGCTACATGACAGGTCAACACACAGAAAGGAAACCCAACAGGTCTGACCAACAGCGTGCAGGTCCTCTATTTATACGAAATGGACATGCTCTGTCCCCTTCTGAGGTTGAAGGATCTCGTTCAGCTCCTCATTTTCCCTGCTCACCTCCAGATCCACACCTCTCCCCTGCTATGCCAACCCTCGTGGGTTCTCTCTTTACAGACACCCCCAGTACGGGCAGCCAGCACACATCTAGCCCCTCCCCGTCCACACAGACGCGCTTGGCACTAGAGGGCTACTTCTCATAACTTGTCACCTTTTGTCCACTTCCTCCTAGTATGACCACATTCAGATTTCTTCTGAGGAGTTCGAAGACCCCTTCAGACCAAGGGTTACGTTCCTGATGCCTTACCTCTTTCACATGGGTGTGAAAGGACACTGACATGTCCAGCAGGATCTTTCGCTGCTCAACACGCCGAACGAAATCTTGTATCCGGTCTTCAAGCTGATGGGCAGCCTGATAAATCTCTTCTGGGTCACATTCCCCAGTCTGAGCCAGCTGTTCTGCCGCTTCTAGTAATTTATCCGCATTGGTATATGTGTTCTGCACAAGGGAACATCGGAGAAACAGAAGGTGAATAAAAAGCAAACCAGCCAGGCTGGGAGCCATGATATACAGCAACGCGGAGGCAATCTGTGACATCTCTGATCACTTACATAATCAAGCAGAAAATATGATGGGGAGAGATGATTTTAGGACTTCTATACAGCAGCTTTTCTCAATATTGTTTGAAATTGCTGAACTCTGAACCTCATGGCAAAGCCCTTGCATCGGAAGGGGTGGCAGGGCACTTGCCGGCAGTTGCTGGCTGTCTCATGACTCAGAAAGGACTTCCAGATTTCTGCCAAGGTGGAGTCAGGAGACAGCCCATAGCCACAAATGCCCGCTTCACTTTTTCTCCCAGTTTTATGACAGAGTGGAGAGTTCCAGTTCTGTGTCTTGCAGCATGACATATTTGCTTTATAATCCCCAAAGTGCAAGTTAAAGGCTAACTTCGAAACAGACATAAGTTGCTGTCCCTTTTCACATGTTTCTACTAATTGCTAATTCTGTGCTTATCTCCTTTCTACATAAGGCTACACGGTTTTTGAGAAAAAGGAAATAACTATAAAGAAAAGTACCCAGAGTACTTTTAAAGAGTTGAAAGCTAAATGTAAACATGGTTAGAACACTCTGAAAAATACCCTAATTCTCAATAAATCAAAGGCTGTAAATGGGCTCCTCAAAGAAACAGACATGCAAAAGCCGGATGCCACCGCAGGAAACTCTAGCGAGGGGTTCGCTGAGAGAGGCCGGAGGACACCAGTGCAGGGAAAGAACAGAGTCCCGGCCTTCCAAGCAGGCCCAGAAAGTCAGCTTTTGGTTCCCTTGAGAAACAAGTTGAGCCCTTCATCCTCCTCAGTTTAGTCCTGAAGCTGAGCAGGGGAGGCATCTCAGCAGTGAGGGTGCGAGGTGGCACACAGGTAAGGGTCACAAGGGTGGCTTCCACTTTGGGAGACTGGTTACATCCAGGGGGATTTAATGACCAAGCGAGCACATTAGGAATAATGGGAGCCAAGTTTCCTTTCTGAGTGAAGGGAGTTATGAGTATAGAAAAGGAGAAAATGTGAGTTAACCCTTGGCACTGTGCAGAAATTGGAGGTTTAGGTGTGACTACATAGTTTTCAACAGACAGATGTGAATGTGCGTGTCTGTGTGTGTGTGTACACACATACTCACATGCTCACTCACGGTCTCCCTCCCCCGCCCTCTGTGCACCGTCCGGAGGAGGGCCAGGGAGCAGCAACAGCCCAACAGCAATAAGCATGCTCAGCGCCAGATTCTGGCCACTAAACACCATTCTCCTCTAAAAGGAACCAGGGCTCCTTGGAGAAACGGCTGATTGCAGGGTTGGGGTGGAATAAAGGACGATATGAGTCTCAAACATCTTTTGTACCCAAAAGTAAGGAAGTGCTCAGGGGCAACATGCTCATGTAGGGCACAGACGCCGGCCTGAGGGGGCTCCTGCCAGCCAAGTCAGGGACGATCTGAGCATCAGAGTAATCGACTCTGACAGTCACAGAGTGCCAGCCACCAAATACGATGAAACCATGAGACCACACTGACAGAAACAAATAAATAACGTTGGGTGAGGAACCAGATATCACAGAATTCCAAAGTACCTCCCACAGAGCGCTTATCGATTCCAATGGGAGAGACTGATTTTACAGTGGAGAAGGCTGGCAGACATCACCCCAGCCCAGAGGCCAAAATGAACATCATATGGGGACAAGTTAAGACCAGGCACCACCTGAGGGATGCCAATGAGGAGGATGTGGCATCACCCTGTGATACTCCTGCCCAAGACACATCACCTGAATCTGGTCATGAGAAAACACCGGACAAACCCAAGGTGAGGCGCAACCTCCAAAACACATGCCACCAATTTTCCCAAGTGTCAGGTCACAAAGTCAAGGAAAGACCACACAACTGCTCCAGGTTCAAGGACACCAAGAGGTGTGACAGTTAAATGTCACGAGTGATTCTTAACTGGATGGTTTTTACGAAGGACAGTATGGGGTCTGAGAGTTACACAGGGTGTCAAGGTTAGTTTCCTGATTTTGATGGTGGTGTTTTGGCTGTATAGGAGAATGTCATTTCTTGGAAGGAAATACACACCAAAGTAAATAGTTCAGGGAGAAAGGTGTGTGTGGGACTATCTCCTCTAGGCCCTTCCCTCCTGAGGCTGGGACTCAGCCCACGCGGCAACAGTAGACTCTCCTTGTGACAGCCAGCCCTGAGCACTAAGGGCTCCTCTGGGGAGGTTCTGCCTGCATTCTGCCCACAAAGATCCTCTGACCGTCAGAGGCTGCACATACAAGCGACTCTTCCAGGGATGGCAGGTTCGAGGTCCTCGCTTACCCCCAGCTGAGCGTCCCCTGGGAGCCATGGTCTGCATCCCTGAGACAGGCACGCTGGGGCCTCGGTGCTGGATGAAGCTACAGAGTAGCAAGCGGTATGCAGGACACAGAGTGCTGCAGACACACGCTTCTGAAAAGTCCTGTTTTCTTATTTTATTGATCATCACTATGGCTTTGAAATCATTTACCTCTCGTGTTTGACAAGTGGGTTTTCAGATGACAATGCCTTCCAACAGCTAAACATTTCATTTCCGAAAGCTTTTCCACTTCTTTGCTAGCAGGCAAAGACACTTTTTAAAAAGTCCCAAAGGAAAAAGTGCATTTTTCAATGATCTGGGACATCAAACAGCAATCATTTATCCCACTTCTCATCTTACACTCAAAGAAAACAGGTAGCGCAAAAGGTTCAAGGGCTGGGAAGGTCAGCACTCGTGTCTCTGGAACCCCTGGCCAGGCCTTCCCAAGAACAGGACCTTCCCTGGGTCCTTTAGCAACGGGGGAACAGAGAGTCTCTTGTGCTAGTATTGACCATACTGATCAGAAATGCTACCTTGTGAGCACTTACTCTGTGCCTCACAACAGCCCTGTGATGTACATACTGTTTTATTCCCACATCACAGGTGAGGTAACTGAGGCACAAAAAGATGAAGTAACTCATCCAAGTCAGTCAGTGGAGCTGGGACTGTCGAAACCACTAACGCCCGAGCCAGGCTTCCTCCCACAAGGAGACGTTCGCTCACGGGACTCAAAGGAGGTGGGGTGTCAGAAATGGAGCAAGTTTTAGAGTCTGAAGACCTGGACTTCTCCTCTCTTCCACTTGCCGTCCTGCCTTGTCCTGTCCTCTGAGGCTTCTCACTATGGCCTGTTTCTTTATCTGTGGGGTAGGGGTTATCCCTGCTGTGGGGATTAAAGGAGACAATGTAAGGGCCTGGCCAGGGTAGGGGACTGACTCGTCTCCTCTTTTTCTTGAGAAGTAAATGCAAGTTGCGTAATTGGAAGGACTCAGGGAAACAAGAGCCACAGTAAGGCAAATGCACTTCATGCCCTCCTCTTCCTCAGGATCCTTAGCTACAGAGCCTGTTTCTTCCCAAAGATGGCCAGAGGCTGCATTTAGAATCCAGTGGAAAAAAAGGGTTTTCTTGATCTTACAACAGATAGGAAAGGAGGAAAACAAGCATTTTAAGGCCTGAATACTTCTATTCCATTTGTCTGGCTTAAAGAAGAACAAAGTCTGCATATAGAAAACTTCCAAGGTATTTTATTACCATAGAAATATAATAAAAAGAATGATGAGGCAGTACTTCTACAGTGCAAATTAAATGCCCAGATAATTTAAATGATCACTTAAAAGGAAAATAGGTCCCCAGAGATCTTTTTGTCCATGACAGGAAAGCACGGTATTATCAGGAGGCCAGCTCACCATTGCCCCTCCCCAAGCACGTGTACATGGCAGAGAGATGAATGGTAAAACCACAAACACAACCAACAGACCCAGAAAGTTCCACGTGACACTTACCTAGCCATAGCAAAATACTGACTACTATCTGTATCTGTTAGCATTTGACCAGAGACACGGCTTTTTTTGCAGGGTGGGGGGAGTTTGGCAAGGTAAGGTAGGTCAGGGATAAATATACCTACAGTGCCCTCTGGAGCCATTTCCAAATGTTGCTAAGTAGCCTTAAAACACAATGCTAGCATTCGCCAAAATATGTGGATAATTTGAATGATCTAACTGTGCTAGGCAGGGACTCGGCACGATGATCACCTGCTGAGCGTCAGGCATGTTTTATTTGATAAATACCTGGCAAAGGCAGGTATTAGAAATCATTTTACAGCCAGGGGAACTGAGGCTCAGAGAGATTGAGTAACTTTTCCATGGTCATACAACTGGAAAGCAGTGGAGTCATATTAGTAAATTTTAGAAGAGTTTTTAATATGAAAAAAAAAAAAGCAGGTGAGAAGATTTGATACCTTGTAAATACATGCCAGCTTAAAGGAAATTCTTGACAGCAAATAATTTGCCCTGAATTCTACACTATTTATTTTAAAAGACTAAAAAACAACACACCTTATATTAAGAACCAAACTTATTGCAAAATGGCAGCCTAATGTACTTAAGCAAGGCTCTAACAGCTGTAACAAATCAGAAATTTAGAGCATGCTACAAAAGTGGAGGCATTCTGTACGTCCATGTGTTCCAGAGGCAGTATCCTCCTCCCAAAAGATGAATGAGTTCAGTTGTGGCCAGGGAGTTATCCGGCCTGCTTCTTTTCTGAAAATCTACAATGAACTTAAGGTTTCCTACGTTCCTAAATGACACACTCTTTATCCAGGGAGACAAGATGATTACATGGCTCATATGAAAAGCTGTTGACAGCAATGGCTTCCTGGAGAACGACTTTGTGACAGGTTCCGTTTCTGGAAGGTAATCTGAACCCCGGGGGTAAGAAGAACAGAGCGAAGGTGGTTTAAGCACTCACAGAACCAGAGATTTGCTAATGATAGTAAAGACATCTTCTGTGCTGTCAAAACCAGCTTCTTCCTGAACCAGAGTGTCCTGGGCTTTACTGGCTGTTGTAATCATAGCTTTTTAAATCTAAAAAGGAACATTAACTTGGATAACTATTTAGAAGGTAAAGGTTA